ACACACACACACACACCACACACACACACACACACACACACTTAATGAAAAGAGGTGAGTGTCTATGGATCTTGGGTTTACATCGACAATGTAAATTTTAAAAAACAAAAAAAACAATATCCAAAACATCTCAAAAAGGCTATGACACAGTGTATATTATATTTTTTACGACACACAAAGTCAAAGCAACAATGAAAAAAAAGAGAAATTTAAAGAGTGACGTTAATAGTGGGCTTTTACAGGTTGACCATGTTTACCATTATTATTTGATACGACCTGCTGCGTACGCCTCATTTGAACACATCATAAAAATCTTCGACAGTTGACAGCATGAACCCACAGCCTATTAAATACACGCAGTTCACTCCGTGTACCATAGCAGCAAGAGGTCTTAGAGTTTATTCGTTGACCATGCGAAAGATTTTCTTAATGTAGTCAACGACAATTTTAATATACGTATGATTTATCGAGCTTGATTTACATAGTGATTTCTTTTTTCTCTTTGTCCCACTATCGCTAATCTTACAAGTTCTTATCCTTTCCAATGTCTTAATTACGAGGCGTTCCACAGTTCAGTTGATAATATATTGGACTAATAATAGAAAGCCCCGATATGAATCTTCAACTCAGAGTTCCTAGGAATTTTCAAGGCTCTCCATTTATTTGGCTCGGTCCAACCACAGACTGACAACAAATTCTGACACACCGCCTCTTACAATGTCGGAAAGCTAGACATAATTACAACTTTCTTACCGGAATCGTGCTGTGAGCTGCATGAGGCAGAGCTGTGTTGGCGACTGTGCTTTACTCCAAGGGTGGCATAGGTATTATCTGGGGCGCCACTGCTGTTGTGGCTACTGCTACTATCCATGGGAGCTCGGGGAGTTGCGCTCTGCGGGGTCCGCCTGTGAGCTGAGTCTTTGCCACCACGCCCGTGCCACGTGCCATACACGTTAGGAGGCTGGGAGGGTGAGGGGGAGGAAGAGGAAGGTGATGAGGACGATGATACAGAAGAGGGTGAATGACCCGACGGCGATGGTGACGATTGTTGTGGACACCGAGGAGGTAGCGAAGGCTGGGGGGAGTCGGGTGGGGCGGGGGAGGAGGTGGGGGATTTCGCGGGGATTTCTGGTCGGGGGTCATTGCGAGGAGGTGATGCTGACAGTGGCGGTGATGAAGATGACAATAAGGACGAGTCATGTTGTTGTTGTGCCGCACCACGAGGAGGTGAAGAGGACGACGAGTCCTCACGAGGGAAGCAAAGAGGCGAGGATGGATTTGGGGAAGATTGATGTACAGTGTCTGTAGAGGCGTTTTGATTCGACAATGCTATTGACGAGGTGGGTGAACAAGTCGAGGGTGACTTCGGGGAGGAGGAATACTGGGGGCTGGCAGGCGAGTTCGGGCACGTGTGGAAGGTGAGATCGTAGCCGAGGTCGTGCTCTTTGGGAGCGGCGGGGGTTTTGACGCCTACAGCGCTCGGAGGACTGAGAGTGGCGTGAGGCGTCGGCGGGTCTGTAGAAGACTCGTCTACTGTGGAGTCCGGCAGCGGAACGCCCACATCTTTGCGCTGTGCGGAGTAACCCTGTAGGGTTTTGTTGGTTCCTGTCAGACCAGCTAGTTCCCTACCTTCCGTTGTGTCAGGTTGTGTGGATGTGGGGGAGGAGGGTTCCCTTCTGTCTCCGGTCTTACTCTGCGTGGAGCCAGAGTTATTGCGGTTGAGGTTATCCCCGACGACGCCCTGCTTGCCGGGGTCAAACTGCGGCAAGTCATCCCAGCGCAGGTGGCGGACGGTGTACTCGGAGGCGACCATACACTGTCGCAGCACTAGAGACAGCTCGTGGTCCGGCGCGTCCCGAACGCGGCGCGCCCAGTCCATGGTCAACACGGCGGCAAACTCACGCTCATCGACGCGTCTCTCTACCAGGCCGTCGAACGTTAGGTCGCACAACAGCAGTCTCGGCTCCAGCGGCGGAGAACTGTTGTCGTCTGAAGAAGAAGAAGAAGAAGCCTCGGGGCTGCTGGCGCCAGGGTGGCGTCCGTCTGCCGCGCCGCAGTCGGCGGAAACGAGGCGCGCGCTGTTGGGCTGAGACCTGTCGGCTACCACAGCGCACACGCAGAAGTCTCCGATGTCCCGCAGGTAGCGACAGTTGCGGCGTGAGAGATGGACCACCACGGAACTGCCCACGCTCAGTGGCCAAGTGTTAGTCGGACATTCGCTATGGACAGCCTGAATCTGGAAATATCAAAAGAGAAAACAACGTTGTTATTGTTTGGTTAAAAAGAATACGAAAATCGAAGGAACACTAAGGGAGCATTGAATTTTAAAAAGAATATTATGGACGAGTTATTGCATCATTAGGTTCACTTTTAAAAAGTGTGAGTAAATTATAAAATCTCTTTAAAAAGCAAAAAGAAGGGCAAACTAGAGCATATCCATCAAAGAACCGGAAGCATGGAACAAAACGTGTAAACCTTCGCGACAGGCAACTGAATTACACGACCAACAGGAGAGTCCCTGAGAGATGTTACTACCCGTAGGGACGGTCGAAGCAGAAGCAATTCGTAGACATGAAGCTAGTGTGTGTGTAGCTTTAAGGAAGACAATAAAAAAAAGTCGCAATTTTAATCCGCCGAGAAAATTAAATCGGGAGCATGTTAAAAAAATAAACAACTAGAAAGCATCCCAAACAACTGTGTCCTCATACCAACTCACACAACAACGAACTCACACACTCACCCACGCATTTATTCCAACAAGCAAACATGAAGTATGAGTCACGTGTATTTTTGCGTGCATACAAAACCAATACAGACTGAAGCAATAACGACATACTTATAATAAGGACTGGTTCGGACGAACATTAGACCACGCAGCGGTGTACAGTGAAGGGAGGCCATGGCTTCCTTTTCAACCATTCATTCAATCCGGCGAAACGACAGCTTTCACTGCCAATACTATCTCGTGCCATATGGTGCAAATCCATAACACAGTTGTAGAACCTCTTTAAATTTGTAGCATATTGGATAAATGTTTCTATTTTTAGACATGTTTTCTTGGGCTATATTACTTTTCCCATGTTAGTTTTAAAAAAGCACGCAGTTGAACAGTAACGGAAAGGTACTTAACGTGGTAAACAATATTTTTAGCCTTTAAACATTTAAAAAAAAAATCATTTCAAACATGAAACGCACAAGAAAGCCAAGAATAAAATAATCCAACTTTCTCATATTTCTAGATATTAAATAAAAACTCTTCAACTATTAAAATAAATCAGCCGTCCTCCAGAATACTCGATTGTGGCAACAAACACATAACAGGTCACAGCAACAACACCGGCATACGTGGTGTACCGCTGATTTGGATTCCCTTGTGGAAAATAATAATATTGTAGTGTATATCGGTCTTTCTGCTGGGACGTTGTATCTCCCTCAGCCCGGTTTAGCTCTAACATGCAGGGTCTAAGTCCGCCTCTTAAAAGATTGAAATTGTTTCGAAGAGAGCTGGGTGCGTAAAAGACCTTAAATAAAAAGAAGAAAAAAAAAAGAGCACGCGAGCTTTAAGATATACTAAGTACAGTAACATGCAGAGCCTAACACGATGCTTTTAATTTAGTTTTATTTTAGTAAAAGGAAGAACATTGACACCACAACGGCCGGGAGAAAATCTTAGATAGAAGACAGACAAACAAAAACAGAAAGAAAACAAGTAGGAGGGCCTACCAATGGCGCCCTCCAACCAAAGGCAAAGTGCGTATCCTATTTAAGCAATCAATACAGTGTTACGTCGAATACACTAACTTGATCAAAACTTCACAGAAAGTAACACGCACGAGGGTAAAGTGTCCTTCTCCAGCTAACGCACATCAAAGAAATCTCTAGAATCCAGATACAAAGTAAACATACTAAAAGTTTCAGTAACACTAACAGCCTAATGTGTTGCCTAGCGAGAGTGTGTCAAACATACAACAGGCCCCCCGATATCTCTCTCTCTCTCTCTCTCTCTCTCTCTCTCTCTCTCTCTCTCTCTCTCT